TTTTACGAGAATATGGTTTAAATTGTTTAAAAAATATGATTCATGGATATTAATAAAATATGATTTTAAAATATAACATATAGATTATAATTGATAATATTATAATTAGAAAATTAATCATACTTCCAAATCATTAAATATAAACTACTATAAACAATAATCGAATGTAAATATGAAATGATTTATCTGATTGGATCATATTTATTATTTAAATTAAGTACTGTCAAGAATTTTTTTATTACTATGATTTCTATATATACATAAAAAAAAAAAATACTCGTCTAAACATAGTGTTTTTCTTAGTAATTAAAATCACTGAAAAAAAAAATTAAGTCATTTTGGAGATTAATGTTTTCTAATTAGTTATTCATATATCAGATATTTTCCCTTAACAACAAAATCATGCTAGAAATATATTCAAAATTTTCTAAAATTGTTAGATCAAAAGCTTTTCGGCGTATTTTTTTTTGTTTCTCAGCGCGTATCAGTGTTGAAGATTTTTCATGATGGTATTATTGATTAAAAATATAGTAAACTAGTAGACTTTCTATGATAGTAAAAAAAACAAGTGTTGAAGATTGGTTAGATTTTTGTTTTTATCAAGGGTCTTTTTGGTGAATAACCAAAAAAAGAAAAATTAAAAAGTTAGAAAAAATGGGGTATGTAACAAATTGTAGGCCATTGATTTGGGGGTTTTTGTTAGTTTCAAATTATAATTTTTTGTTGTATTTTTGGCAAATTTTCCCTTTTATCAATGTGAATATATTTTTTTGGTTATTCATTAAAAAGGCCCTATGTTTAGGGATAATTTGCCATTAATACAACAAAAAAAATTATAATTTACAAATTAAACAAAAAACCTAAATCTAATGCCAAGATTGTGCCACATACCCTTTTTTTACCAACTTTTTAAATATATATATTTTTTTGGTTATTCATTAAAAAAGCTCATATGTTTAACCTCTCACGACATCAATCAATATAAAAAAAATATCAAACTAACATTTTGTTTGTTTTTTCCATTAAGAATATTAAACATTTTTCTCTATAAAAGGTCTTTTTAATATTCTTCTTTCTTCTTATCAATAAAATGTTAATAAGTAAATTTCTGTAAATTGTAATATTGACATTTTCCATTTCACTGAATAAAAAATTAGAATATTTCCATTATTAAATTTAGTCTACAAAACCAAAATTTCATTTTAATTCATTTACATACGTACATAAATTCTTCTTCAAGTAGAGGTCAAATCTTAGATTATTCATCAAACACAAAAAATTAGAGATAAATCTTAGGTTTTCATGAAAACAATGAAAAATGTTTCACAACTCAGCATCATCTTCCGTGACAAATTACATAATCTCCATGAAGACTCTGTCGAAAATTCCGATGTCGTCGAGAAAAAACCATCTGATTCATCTTCAGACAACAACAACATTGATCGATCCACCAGCTGGTTTGCTTCTACGTCATCATCTTCGTTCCAAATGCCTCTTAATTACCCTAACTACACAAAACAAGAGTACGAGATTATGTCAGAGGAAGAACTTGATCGGCTTCTTAAACTATATGGTTTGCCTATAGATCTTGGTGATTTATCTTGCAAAATACAATTTGTAATTGGTGCATTCTTGTGGGAGAAGGAGATAAGTTCTTCTATGGCTGATGAGCATGATTCAGTAAACCCTAATTCGTCAATTGGTGGTGATTTGGATGAGAGCTCGTTGATAGGATTGATGACGGTTATGATGAGAGATATGGTTCACTTTATATTCCGTGTGTAGCAAGCTAATAAAGGAAGTGAAACCCTATAACTTTGTTCGGCCTTAGAGTTTCGTTTCTGGTTGTTTAATATATGGATTTATTTCATTATGGTTTAGAACAAATTCTGCTTTATTAAAATCTCGTATTAGTAGATCTTAGTATATCCAAATTAACGATCTATAGTATTAACATTACTTTTTTAATTAAAAATATCTTGCAACTAAAACATATCTATATCTATACTATTATATATGAAGTCGCTAATCCTATGTGGCAGTTCCAGAGTGAGTTTAAGACTTAGTCAACCGAAAATACCCTTAATGAATTTTGAAATTACAAATTCATGCCATCACTACTAGTGGGCTACGATTTTCTGATATAAGAATAGATGGGTTTGATTGAATTTTTTTTATTTGGGCTTTAATTATTCTGTGTGCTACCAAATATTAAAACTGATCCCGTATGCTAAAAACGTGGTCCATAAATATATATTTTTTTAAAAACCCTAGCTGCGTCTACTTAAAACCCTAAGTGCATCTATTGTTCTTATATCACCATCGTTTTTGTTTCTCACTATGTTTCGT